TCCCGTGGATATGTAGCGATTCCCTTCGGATTCCTGAGGATGTCTTCAGGATGTCTCAGGATTTCCTTGCGACCCCCGGCGGTTCTTGTTTGTTGTTTCCTGGTATATGATTTTCTGCGAACGGACGGCCGATGTCCACCGACGCTTTGCTCCATGGGACGCAGGGGGCGTCGCGAGAAAGATGCCGATCCGAGGTAGCTACAACAAGGGGATGTATCGGGCAAGAACGCCGTTTCTGCTTTGACAAGACGATATTGAGGTCAGTCGATGTCAGCCGAATTTGGAGGAGGTGTCGCGGTCGGGAGAAGGTTCCTGAGTGGGCGGGGGGGCGTGCCCGGCCATTATATTGCACAGATTTGTATATGCATGTTAACCAGCGTGGGGCCCATCCAATCTGTGCTCTAGCTCTTATGTTGTGTCGTATCTGTGAAGCAATCGATGTGCTGCACCTTGCGTGGTGCAATGCATATTCGGTTGGTGTATATACGTATGTATGTAGGTGCGTGTGTATATATATGTATATTTATAGGTATTGTGCAATTGGTGTTGTGCGTTGCTTGACGAACACTCTGCGTGGTGCAACCAATGTTGTGCAGTATCTGTATCGCAGTCAATGTTGCGCAAATGTTGTTGTGCCACGTAGGTTGTATTATGTATACAGTGCAAAGGCGCGCCATCTATTCTTCGCTTGCTGCGCGTGGAGGGCGGGAGGTTGCCGCGGGCACTCGCGCCCAACCTTTTTTCCCAGCGAACTGATCCATCTGTTCAGGCGTGTCGCGGATGGTTGGCAAAGCCTCCGTGCTGCTCTTGGGTGCTGCGACCGTTCTGCTGGCGGCCTGGCCTGGCTATCTTGTCCGCCACCTTGTGTCTTGCGGCCCCCGCGTGCCCATCTTCGCCGACGTGTCCGTCGGTCGGTGTCTTGCCCGAACCTCTCGTGCGGGGCGGTCCGCAGTTGGGCCTCGGAGGAACCGTTGACTTGCCCGGCGGCGCCCGCGGCGCCGCCTCCACCGCCCGTGGTCCCATCGGTGCCCGAGCTGGCGCCGGCGCCGGCCCAGGCGGGTCAGAGCTCGGACTGGCTGGGCTGCGTTTCTGCTTGGCCAGGTACTGCTGGCGTGCTTCCAGTTCGGGCGTGGGGTTCCTCCTGCTCGTGAGGGACCTCGTGAGCTGGCAGCCGAGGTGCTGCCGATATGGCCGCCAGAGTGGCGCCGCCAGGCGGCGTCTTGCATTGGGCCTGGGTGCTGCGTCGAGGCGAGCGGCTCTGGCGCCAGCGGAGCGTTTGGAGCAGGTTGTTGAGTTCCCCGGCAGGGGGGTCTGACCCCCTGGACCTGCTGATCTCGAGCCCCGACCATGACGTCTATGAGGAAGGCTACAATCAAGAGGATCCGGACGTTGTCGCCGCGGTGTTCTGCCCGACGCGCCAGGCGCTAGAAGGGGTGGGCGCGACCCTGTTGCGCCGATTCCGACGGGGGCCGAACGCGAGGGGGGCGTCGTCCAGCACCGATGCGCTGCAGCAGGTGGCGGATCAGCTCTATTTGGGTCGTGGGCGGGCTGCCGTGCGACCCCTCGCTCTTCCTGCTGACGGGTCCTACGTGACGTTCGAGTTCGCGGCGACCGCCCCTGGCTCTGGGGCTCCTTGAGCTGTGGAGGCCGCGGCGCCCATGGGCGGCGGCGCTCCAGCCGCGGCGAGGCGGCGGCCTTGGCTGGCCTGGCTGGGCGGGGCGCTCTCGCGGCCCTCGCGCCTGGCGGCGCGGCCGTGGCGGCCTCTGCAGCAGCTGCCGTGGCGCCGGCCTCCCTGGCCGCCCAAGCGGGCGGAGCGGGGCAGCCTGCGCCTGCCGCCGCGGGGGCCCCCCCTGGGCCTCTGCCAGCGCTGGCGCCCGTGTGGGCGCCCGTCGAAAGCGCCGGTGCAGGCCGCCGTGGGGGCGCCGCGCAGCTCGACGGTACCGAGCGCCTGGAGGGCGATCTCGGGTTACTGGAGCTCGACGCGGATTGGGTGGCTATCCGACGGATCGCGAAGGGCCCGACGGTGTACCGTTGCGCCGAGGGTGGGGCGGACATCAGGTTGCCGGGTGTGTCGCCGCGTGCTGACAGGCATCGAAAGCGTCTGGCCAGGCGCGAGGTGGGCCCCCTCATGGCCGCGAGCAACATCCAAGGATGGCTGCTGGACGGCCTCGCCTGGTGTTCTGGCGCGCCCAGTTCATAGTCAGGAATCGAGGAGGCCCAGTCGAGCACTGCAACAGCTTCGTGGCCTTCAATCATCATTCGAAGGATGACTATGGTGTGTCACGTCAAGATGATCGAGCACCTCGGCTGCTGGGGCCATGCCAACCTTGCAGACCTCGTCGGGGTGGGGCTGGCCATCAGACAGGCCCAGCTGTGCGAGCGTATCTACGCCATGGAGTACGCGGCCCAGCAGTCCAACGGATCGGCCAAGGACGGCGAGGGCGACGGCAAGAAGAAGGGGCGTGGGCGCGGAGGCATTCTCCACCGCTTCGGCACCGTGGATGAGGCAGCGGCTTCACAGGGGCGGCGAAGGAGGCTGGCCGTTCCATCATTTGCCCGTCGTTACTGGAGCACGTCTCCAAACAAGTCGATCTCAACGCAGGGGCCCTGACCAGGGAAAGCCCGAGAAGAGCGTCGCGCTCTGTCATCGCGAGCGACAGCGGCGGCTCTCGGGCACCCCTTGCCCGGGGGCCAGCCAGGCCGAGAGGGGGGGCGTCCGTGGGCCTCGCGGGCGCGGGGTTCGTTCGTCCAGCGTGCATTCTCGCCGCCGTGATCTCCCTCCCCCTGCCCGTTTTGGCGCTGGACTTCCTCTCCCCGCGGACCTTCCCCGCCTTCGAGGTCAGTCCGAGGGCGCCGAGAGCGGCGCTCCCACATCCGCGGCATGGTCGACTGGATGACCGACGCGCTGAAGATGACCGACGAGCTGAACAAGTTGTGGGGTTGACCGCCCGCATCGCGCAGTCAGGCGCGCGCGGGCGCTTCCACGCCTTCTGCTGGCGGCGCCCTGGTCTTCGACGAGCTGCGCCAGTCCGCTATGGGGTTCGGCCCTTGCCCTGTGGACTTGGGCGGTCCAGGGGCCTTTTTGGAGCTCGGGGTTTCGCGATCGTGCGCGGGTGATGCCGCGATCGTTGTCTTGGTGAGCTTCGACGTCGTCGACTCCATCGCGCTGCCCCTGCTAGCAGTCGGCCGACAGCCCTGGGGGCTATCGGCGAGATGGCAGGCCAGAACATGCCTCGCCGGTTGAGAGAGTTGTTACTCCTGCCCCGACAGCTGGGGATGGGGCGCGTCGTGGAGGCTGGTCCGAAGCGGCTCCGCACGGGCCTTGCCCTCCGCAGCCCGCGCCTCTACGCGAAGGTGGTGCGGGAGGTCGTGGGCGCCGAGCTGGTGGATTTTAGCGCCTCGTCGGTTGTGGCGCCGGCCTCTTCTTCGTCCGCGACAAGAACGGGTCGCTGCGCATGGCCCTGGATGGCCTCCATGCGTCGCTCCGCCTCGCGCCCGCGGGCCCCGTGGAGCTGGCGACGGGGGCGGTCGTCTGGCGGGTCCCAGTCGACGACGGCGAGCCCGTCCGCGCCGGCGGCGTCGACGTCAGCGACGCCTCCTACCGCGTCGAGGTTCCGAAGTGGCTCCGGCGCATCTTCGGACTGCCTGGGCTGCGGGCCAGTGGCGTCGGCCTTGTGCAGCTGGCCGTCGCCTGTCCGCCCGTCTACCTGGATGGTTCCTCGCTTCCGCTGTCCGCCGGTCGGCTGGGGCATCAGTCCTTGGATGTGCAAGAGCTTGAACGTGGCAGCGACAGCTTGGGCTCTACCTGGCCAACTTGGCCGTCGGCTCGTGGATCGACGGCCCGCGCCAGACCTGCAGCGGGGGCTCGCGCGCGCGGTCGACGTCGACATCTTCGCCGCCCCGTCGCGCCGGCTCGCCGAGGTCAGGGCCGCAACTTCCCGGGTGAAGCTGGAGATGACGGCCTCGGACCTGCCCGCGCGCCCCGTGGAGGCTTCGGTCGGCGGGGGTGCGCCGGGCTGGCGCTTCGACTCGGACAGGCTTGTGATCGGCCTCATTGTCAGGCTTCGCTGGCGGCTCCGACTGGGCACCGGCGAGCTGCTGAAGCGTGGCTGGTGCAGTGAGTGGCTGCGCTATGGTGAAGGTGATTTTGCATTTCACGTCGAAAGCGCCAATTCGCCGCGAGCTGCCGATCTGCCCGGGGGCCGCGCGCGGTTTCGCGGGCAGTGGCGGCTGCGGGGGGCGGCGCCTGCCTTCGGCAGTGCAGCGGGACTTGACCTGTTGCCGCTCGTTGCTTCCCTTGTGCTGCTTTCGCGACGTTGGGCGGCCTCTACCTCTTGGGGCGTCGCGCGCGGGCGCCGCGTGGTGGGGCGCCGGCGTGGTTGAGAGGGCCTTCTCCTCTACCCGGGCCCATCCTCCGTCAATTTGCAAGGTGGAGATGCAGCCGAGATGGAGAGCTGCAAGTCGCCCCTCGAGAGAGCGTTGGCCAGCGATGGCAAGCAAGCTGACCGCGTCGCTGCGTCATGTTCGAGACGGGCCTCGACCGACCGGCATCGCGACCCAGCGGCCGTCGCAGCAGCCGTGGATCAGCATCGGCCATGGAGCAGCAGCAGCGTCAGCTATGACCAGTGGCTGACGTTCGAGGAGGCTTTGGGGGATGTTTGGGCATGAGGGTGGCGTCGGTTCCTATCGACGCCGTGGATCAGGAGGGATGCGCAGGTGCTCTTGGGTGGGAGGGCTCTCGTCCTATGTTTGAAACGTCAGTTGCGAGCTGTTCGAAACTTCTACACCGCGCGCATCATTCTCAGTGGCTCCATGGCTCTGGTGCTAGCTTTGCTCAAAGGCAGGTCTTCATCGCCACCCTTGATTCGGATCTGTCGCCGAGCTTGCGCCCTGCTGCTCGCGTCGGGCTCGGGCTGACCACTGCCGGCCTTCGGCGGGCGAGGCGGGGGTCACCCGCGGCTTCGCGCCCCGAGAGTGACCGCCGCGCTGTCCGACGTCAGGAGAGAGCGACTCGCTTCCCGGCCCTCCTGGCGCCAGCCCCCTGCCCGGGCCCGACCATCCTGGAGACGCAGTCTGTGGGGGGCGCGACCCGGGCGGGCTGCGAGCGCAGCCGGGCGGCCTTCGCCTCGCGTGCCACGCATTGGGGGCGCTCGCTGGCATCGGCCGCCGACGCGGGCTCAGCTTTGGCCGCGTTCTTCCGCGAGAAGTTCTTTTGCGGGGGCGAGACCGGCGACGCGTGGAAGCTAATGGCGGCCTTCGCCTTCGCGCGCTCGGACCTCGGGGCCCGGTGGGGGCGCCTGCCCAGGGTGGCGCGCGCGGCCGTGGGTTGGTCGCGCCCGGCGCCTCCCCGGTCGCGGCTGCCCCTGCCCCGGCCCGCGGCGTGCCTGATCGTGGAGGCTGTGTGATCTACGCGCGGCTGACGGCGCTGACGTTCGGCCTGTGCTTGCGGCCGCGGGGGGCGCTGGACCTGGCGCAGACGCAGCTCGTCCCGCCGGGGCGCGCCACCGCCGCGACCATGCGCAGATGGCGCGTCATCCTCCGCTTCCCGTGGATGGCCAGTCTGGTGCAAGAGCTGCGCCGCCGCGTGCCTGTCGGCCACCGCCTGTTGCCCGTCGCCCACGCGCAGTGGAACTACCGCTTCAAGGCAGTGGTCGCGGACCTCGGCCTGCAGGGGCTCGGCGACCTGGCGCTGCGCCAACTTCGACGCGGAGGTGCTGGCCACGAGCTGCGCGCTGCGGCCGAGCCCCTCAAGGACATTTAGAAGCGGGGCAGGTTGGCGACCGATGCCCGGCGGCAGGGTGCATGAGCAGCTCCATCGGCTACCGCGAGGCTTCCAGCTTCAGGCCGAGCAGGCTTTCCTCAAGGTTGGCGCCGCCCAATCCGCGACCTGGCAGCGTGGGTGTTCGGTCCCGGTCAGGAGTCTTCCTTGAAGTCTTCAGCGGGTCTTGGTGCATGTCAGCAGGTTGGCTCCTTTGGTTCAAATCGCTGCGCGAGGTTTTCGAGCTGGACGTCCGTCACGATGCCATCAACGATCTTCTCTCCAACGGGGTCAAGCAGCTGGTGCGTGGGTGGGCGCGAGGCCGGTTCGTCGTCGCGATCTGGATCGCCACGCCTTGCCACTCTCTGAGCCGTGCCCGCAAAAGGCCCAAAGGGCCGCCACCGTTGCGGACAAGGCAATGCCGTCTCGGGCTGCCCGACCTGTCACCCAGTGATCAGATAAAAAGGTTGAGAGGGGAACGCGCGCACCACTTTCAGTGTCTCTTTCTTCAGGCTCGCGCCCTGAACGTTCCAGTCGTGATAGGGAATCCCAGTGCCTCCTGTTTGTTGCAGCTCCTAGGGGCGCCGAGCATCATCAGAATTTGCAACGCTCGATCCGTGGACTTTGTTTTCTGCGCGTTTGCCACCCCTTGGCGCAAACGCACTCGGCTGCTCTACTGTCATCTCAATCATGACCCTCTGACCCCTCAGAAGTGTTCTGGTAGAGGTGCTTGCTCTTTTAGCCGCCGATCCCATGAAGTCCTCGGGGGCAAGGATGCGTCCGGGACCTTCTGGACGCACGCTGCTGTCTCCTACCCAGAAGGATTGTGTCGCTTTGAAACCCAATGTTTTCAGCAGGCTTTGCTTGACCATACTTTTAGGGGCCTGAACAGATTTTGGGTCTAGGGCCAGGTTTTTTAAATTCGCGTGTGCTCGAGCTTCGAGTTTCGGATTGTGACTGCCTTGGAACTTGCCTTCCCTTGCCGAGTCGCCCTGCCTGTTTGTCAATGCTGTCTGGAGCTCCGGGTCGAGTCATCACGCAACGTTGCGGATGCAAAACAGTTCTGGCCGTCGGGGCTTCACCCGCTTGACATATGTATGTACGTGTGCATGTATGGGTGCAATGATGTATATATATATATATATATATATATATATATATATTCATAGGTATGTATGTATGTATGTATATATATATATATACAGATATAGAAAGTGCGCCAGGGGATGGCCCTGAATACATTGAAAGGGGGGTGTGCTCGCAGAACCCCCCCTCCCCCCTTCAAAGGGGGGTGGGATTTTCGACCCTTCCTCCCCCCGCCCCCACCCCTTAAGGAGGGGGCGGGGTCCGACCCCCTCCCCCGCCCCTCCCTTGAATGGGGGTCCGGACCCCCCCCCTCTCCTCCCCCCTTCGGCGCTGGAAAAAAGGGCGGGGGGGGGTTCGACCCCCCCCCGCCCCCCTTTGCGCCGAACAGGGGTCTGGGGAGGGGGCCTCTCGGGTAGTGAGTAGGTGTTTTGAGTGGCGATTGGTGAGTACTGGGTATTTGATAGTGAGTCGTGCGCAGCGAGTCGTGAGTGGTGAGTAGTGAGTAGTGGGTAATGGGTAGTGGTAGTAGTGAGTAGCGCGTAGAGCTTAGCAAGTAGTGAGTAGTGGGTAGTGAGTAGTGGGAAGGAAGTAGTGAGTAAGGAATTGTGTGTAGTGAGTAGTGAGGAGTGAGTAGTGTGTAGTGAGTAGTGCACAGTGAGTAGTAAGCAGGGAGTAGGGATGAGGGAGTAGACAGTAGCGAAGAGCGAGGAGTGAGGAGTGAGTAGTGAGTAGTGAGTAATGCGCAGTGAGTAGAGAGGAGTGAGTAGTGAGTGGTGAGTGGCCAGTAGCGAGTAGCGAGTAGGGAGTAGCGAGTAGGAAGTAGCGAGTAGTGAGTAGTGAATAGCGAGTAGGGCGTTGTGAGTAGTGAAAGTGAGGGGGGGGGGGGGTAGTCTGGAGTCCGTAGTGCTCAGCGAGTAGGGAGTAGTGAGTAGTGAGTAGTGACTAGTGAATAGTGGGTTGTGAGTAGTAAGTAGGGAGTAATGAGTAGTGATAGTGGGCAGCGAGAAGTGGGTATTGAGTAGTCGGTAGTGAGTAGGGAGTAGCGAGTATAATTAGTGAGTAGTGAGTCGTGAGTAGTGAGTAGTGAGTAGATACTTGCGACTAGTGACTAGTGAGTAGGGAGTAGGGGGTACTGAGTAGTGAGTAGCGCGTAGTGGGTAGTGAATCTGTCCTACTGGGTAGCGAGTAGCGGATAGTGAGTAGTGGGTTCTGGGCAGTGCGTAGTGAGTCGTCCAGTTTGTGTTATCAGTAGTGAGTAGTGGATAGTGGTTAGTGGGTAGTGAGTAGTGCTTAATGAGTAGTGAGTAGTGGGCAGTGAGTAGTGTTTAGTGTTTAGTGAATAGTGAGTATTGAGTAATGGTTAGTGAGTAGTGAGTAGGGAGTAGGGAGTAGGGAGTAGTGAGTACTGGGAGCGTAGTGAGTAGTGGGTAGTGGGTAGTGAATAGTGCGTATTGGGTAGCGAATAGGGCGCAGGCAGGCAGTAGCGAGTCGTGCGTAGAGAGTAGTGACTACTGTGTAGGGAGTAGGGAGTAGCTTGTAGCGAGTAGTGGATAGTGAGTAGTGAGTTGTGGGCAGTGAGTAGTGAGTAGTGAATTGTGAGTAGTGCGTAGTGGGTAGTGGTTAGTGGGTAGTGAGTCGTGATTTGTGAATAGCGAGTAGTGGGTAGTGAGTCGTGAATAGTGAGTAGTGAGATTTAAGTAGTGGGTACTGAATAGTTTGTAGTGAGTAGTGAGTAGTGGGAAGGGAGTAGGGAGTAGTGAGTAGCGCGTCGTGGGTAGTGAGTCGTGGGTAGTGAGGACTGATTCGTGAGCAGTGAGTAGTGCGTTGTGAGAAGTGAGTAGTGAGTAGCGAGTAGTGAATTGTGGGTAGTGGGTAGTGCGTAATGAGTGGTGAGTGCTGTTTGGGGCTCGGGTTAGGGTTTAGGGTTAGGGTTAGTGCGTAGGGCAAAGGTGAGGACTAGTGTTAGGGGTGGTAAGGGTCGGGTTCCGGAGACCGGGGGCGCCGTGGCGAAAGGGGGGGGGAGGGGGGGGTCGGTTGAAAGGGGGGGGGGATGGGGGTTCCCCCGACGACAGGGGGGGGACGGGGGGGGTCCCCGACGACGGATCGGGAAAAGGGGGGAGGGGGGGGGGTCCCCGACGACGGATCGGGGAAGGGGGGGGGGTTCCCCCCCCCTTGGGGTCATCCAGTGGCGCGCCCTCATATATGCATGCGTGTATGCATGCATGCATGTACACATGCATGCATGCATGCATGCATTCATGCATGCATGTATGTATGTATGTTTGTTTGTTTGTTTGTTTGTATGTATGCATATATTTGTATATATGTATGTATGTATGTATGTATGTATGTATGTATGTATGTATGTATGTATGTATGTATGTATGTATGTATGTATGTATGTATGTATGTATGTACAGATGCACATATAACGTGGGTGACACCGTAGGTGTCCGACGAGTGGCCAAGGCGGTGGACGCACGAGGCGAAAAAGTGGGCATTGCATCTGGTGGTGCGCGCCCGTTGGAGGCAGCCGGGCGCAGTCAAGACAGACACGGTGGAAGACGGTGGGCTTGACGGCGCAACCATGGGACAACATGCGCATGGGGCTGGTGCCCCCGAGAGGCAACGGGGTCGCCAGTCAGTCGTCAGACGGCGCCAGAAGGCAGTGTCGGACAGGGTTTCCGTCGGCTGTCTCGCGTTCGGGCGTTCGGGCGTCGTCATCGAGATACGGCGGGCCCCAGCGCAGATTGAAACAATTCGCCAGGACAGGCGCCGGTCGTAGGCGTCGTCGGACTCTGTGGTGAGGCGTCGGAACAAGGTGCCCCTGACCATCGCGCCCGTTGCGCCGTGAGTGGTGCCCAGGGTGTCGTCAAGGCAGAAAGTGAGGGCGTAGCAGCCGTATGCGAGGGTCAGTCGCGTGGTCCTGGGCAGGACGTGTGGCAGGGATCGCAGTGTTCGCGCGCGGAGCCTGAGGCACCGATTTGCTGTCAGCGGAGCCCTTCATCCGAAACCCACGGGTTCCGAGGGCGGGTCGGAGGTCAGTATTTGAAGCCAGGCGAAGGAGGTAGGTGTTTAGCGCCCGAATTGAAGGGGCGCGAAGGCTGGGTGAGGACGGAGGCCGTCGGGGGCCGTGGGCGGCCGTCCGTAGGAGGTTTCTGGGCTGGCGTGCGGCGGGACCGCCGTCGCTGGCGGGACGGCCTGGTCAAAGCAGCGGGCGCTGGGTGCGTCCCTCTGGTGGCTTCCGCCTCCGCTACCTTCTCTTTCTCCTCCTGCTCCCCCTCCCTTTCCTCCTCCGCCTCCTCCTCCTCCTCCTCCTCCTCCTCATCCTTCCCTCCCCCCTCCAACTAACTCCTTCCAATTCCATCCCCCTCTAACTAACTCCTTCCAACTAGCGTGCATATTCGGTTGTATGAATTGTCCCGACCGCCAGTGCCACTATGCTACTTGCCCGCAGCGGTGCTGGGCTTTCTCGTCTGTCCTCGGTCGTGATCTTGCCCCTCTGTGTCCTCTCACGCGATGGGCTGTCCTGAGTCCGACGGTCAATGTCGTCGAAGAGGTTACCATAGCATTCATGCCTATCACACGCTCCGCTTGTTGCCTAGCCCCATCTCTCCGAATGGTCTCTGATCGGCGGTCTTGGCGGCACTGCGATCTGTTCGTATGTGCTCGCCGCTTTCGCGTGCTTAGTCCGGTGGACACCCCGCTCTTCTGCTACGCTCGGCTCCTCCTCCTCCTCCTCCTCCTTCTCACTCCTCCTCCTTCTCACTCCCGCGTCCAGGTGCCCCCGGGCTGCTGCCCACTGCGTCCAGCTGCCCCCGCTCCCCACGCGGGCCCAGCGCGAGCCGCCCGTGGCCCGCCTCCAGCGCGCGCGAGCCGCCCAGCATTCTCGTCCGACAATCGGCTTCCACACGCTCAAGCACTACGTACGACTCCCGAGACAGCCGCGCGGACAGCCGCCCCGCGCCACGCGCAGGTGGGCGCTGCGGAGGGAGGGTCCCGCGGGCTCTCTGGACGGCAGCCAATGGGCCCACGGGAACCACGCGGCCAGTGCCGGATGCGTGCCATGCCGAGGGGCAGTGGGAGGGCGGGAGCTGCGGGTCGCGGGCCTCGTCGTTGCCGTTGCGGCAGTGCGCTGCGAGGTGGAGCAGCACGTGGAGTAGGGCAGTCAGATCTCGGGTCGCGGGGGTCAGCCAGGCGTTGTGTATCCGTCGTCGCTCCTTGTGCATCCTTGTTTAATTGTTGTCGCGACTTCCCGCGACCTGTGCTGGAGGACTTTTTGACCAGGGGCTCGAGATACAAAATCCGGCCGTGGCATCGATCATCCCCAACTGCCTTCGAAACCTCGCGGTGGTCGTCGTCACCGTTGCCGTCGCTTTTCGCCGTCGTCGTCGTCGTCGCTTTTGCCGTCGTCGTCGTCGTGGCCGTCGCCGCCGTCGTCCTTTGTCGGCCCCCGGCGCCGTGGCTCTCTGGGGTGGCGGCGAGGAGAGGAGAGCTCGGCCACGTCGTTCCTCTTCCACCACGTGCTCGCCGAGGATCGTTGTAGTAGGGCGAGGAAGAGATGCGGGAGGGGTGGGAGGCGAGCGGGGAAGGGGAAAATGGAGCAGGAAACAAAGGGATAGCGTGGACAGGAGGTGATGATTTTTGGAGGACTCGGATGATGATGATGATGATGATGATGATGATGATGATGATGATGATGATGATGATGATGATGATGATGATGATGATGATGATGATGATGATGATGATGATGATGATGATGATGATGATGATGATGATGATGCTGATGCTGATGCTGATGATGATGCTGATGTGATGATGATGATGATGATGATGATGATGATGATGATGATGCTGATGATGATGCTGATGATGATGATGATGATGATGATGATGATGATGATGATGATGATGATGATGATAGTGATTCTAGTGATGATGGCGATGATGACGATGATGATGACGCTGACGACGACGATGATGATGATGATGCTGATGCTGATGGTGTTGGTGGTGGTGGTGGTTACGGTGGTGGTGATGATGATGGTGGTTGTGATGATGATAATGGTGAGCTTTCACTCTTCGATCAATCTGTATTTCCCGAACCCTCGGTCCTCCCCCTTCGTCTTCGATCGTACCCCCCTTGGGGGTATATCTTCCTTACCTGCATCTTGTAGCTGGCGCAGCCTCTAAAACAGGGGACGGGAGGGAGTAGGCTAGGGACCAAGGGGAGGAAGAAGGATGGAGCACGAGTCTGGTTAGCAGGAGGGGGATTAGAAGCAGGAGAGCAAGCGGCAGAACCAGACGGGCGGATCGGGCGGGCGGACCCTAACGGGTGATACGGGCGGGCGGACCCAAACGGCTGGGTCGAGCGGGCGGATCGTTGAAGCGTGAGTCCTGCATGAATCGTAACAAGGTTTCGAGCGAAAGTGCGATCCCAAAATCAATCGTGACGAAGTCCAGAGCGAGAGCTTGATTCCTGAGTGTAGAGGGCGCGGCGTTTCAATCTACAAAATCAAAGGAAGTCCCACGCGAGCGCGCGATTTTTTTTCCCGGAAAGGGCTCGAGCCCATGGTTCTCTTTTAGAGGTTTACCCCCGGATCTGACGGCTGTAGAGCCGGCGAAGTTATTCTGCGATAAATTACGTGCGGGAGTAGGGCCGGCGGAATTATTTTTGAGGATGTCTCGAGCGAAACGCTTGTTTTTCAGAATTTGTTGAGGATGTCTCGAGCGAAGCGCTGGTTTTGCAGAGTTGGGGATGTCTCGAGCGAAACGCTTGGTTTCAGAATTTGTTGAGGATGTCTCGAGCGAAACGCTGGTTTTGCAGAGCCGACCGCGACACGGAAAAGCGCTCCTCGCGCAGGAATTCCGAGGATGTCTCGCGCGTGCCGCGTCCCGCGCGCAGGAATTTTGATTTCTTGGGGTTTTGATAGGATTTCTCGAGCGAAACGCTTGTTTTTCATAATTTGTTGAGGTGTCTCGAGCGAAACGCTGGTTTTGCAAAATTGGGGGATGTCTCGAGCGGGGGCCTCGTGGGGGGCCAGAATTCAGAGGATGTCTCAGGCGAAATGCTTGTTTTCGTGTCCCGCTCGCAGGAATTCCGAGGATGTCTCGCGCGTGCCGCGTCCCGCGCGTAGGAATTCTGATGATTTTGATAGGATGTCTCGAGCGAAACGCTTGTCCCCAGCACGTTCAGTAGCGCGTCCCCTTGGCACGTCCCGCGGTGCGACCCCATGGCACGTCCCCTGGCACGTCGCCTGGCGCATCCCTTGGGACGTTTCGCGGCGCGTCCTCCTGGCATGTTCCCCTTGTCAATTAGCTCTGGGGCAGCTACTATGTGTTCAGGCAGCTCGAGCTTAAGATCCAGATCAGTTCGGTCAGGACTCGGGCAAAGGAGGACTCGATCCACGACGCTATAGAGCACAACCGCGGCATGGCACATCGCAATTCAGCACGGTGCAGCACAGCACAGCCCTCGGCAGGGTACATCAAGATCGATACACTCAGCATTGCAACTTGGCACGTTCCTTGGCACGTTCCGTGGGGCGTCCCTTGGCGAGTCCCCCTGGCACGTCGCGTGGCGCGTCCCCTGGCACATTCCGTGGCACATCCATTGGCACGTTCCGTAGCGCGTCCCTTTGGCACGTCCTACGGTGCGACCCCATGGCGCGTCCCCTGGCACGTCGCCTGGCGCATCCCTTGGGACGTTTCGCGGCGCGTCCTCCTGGCATGTTCCCCTGTCCATTAGCTCTGGGGCAGCTACTACGTGTTCAGGCAGCTCGAGCTTACGATCCAGATCAGTTCGGTCAGGACTCGGATGCAAAGGAGGACTCGATCCACGACGCTATAGAGCACAGTCGCGCCATGGCACATCGCAATTCAGCACGGCGCAGCACAGCACAGCCCTCGGCAGGGTACATTAAGATCGATACACTCAGCATTGCATTTGCCCGTCACCCAATCAGGTGTCTTTGAAAACGCTGCCATGTGTTACAGTTCTGTATTCCTTTCCGGGTTCGTGGGTCGATCATGTTTGTACGTTCAGAGGATGTCCTCTGTGAGAGCGCGAAGGTGAATGAATTGGGAGGAACTTTCAAGCGGGAGCTGTTGAACTCTCACTACTGAAGAAGAATTATTGTTGATCCCGCCTCCAGGGCACATGGTGGTGTTTTATAATTGAAGTACCCTTCCCGGGGCTCGCACTTGAAATTTTAAACAGGGAAAGGCATGGGTCTCGGAATTGTGTTGTTGGCCCACGCTTTACAAAAACAGCGGCCCCCAACGCTTTCGCGCGGGATTGTCATACAATCTATGCAGAAACCGGACACTCGTGTGGACTTCCTCGCAATTCATTCAGGCGCTGCGCCCTCGACACTCAGGAATCACGCTCTCGTTGTGCATTTCCTTACGATTTATTTGGAAATCGCGCTGTTGCTCGAGACTTCCTCGCGATTCACGCAGGATGCACGCTTCAGCAACCCGCCTGCTCGACCTGGCCGCCTGGGCCCGGCCGCCTGGGCCCGCCTTCCCGACCCGCCTGTTAGGGTCTACCCGTCTGGTTCTGCCACGTCATCCGTCCTCGTATCCCCTGCCTAAGGGGCTGTACGAGATACACGTTGCAGTAAGAAAGATATACCCCTAAGGGGGTATTATCAAAGACAAAGAGGGCGGGTATCGAGGGTTTGGGATATACATGTTGAATGGCACGCGAGCAGAGAATAGCGAACCGTCTTCTAATTGTGGCTGTTGTTGTTATTATTATTATTGTTATTGTTATTGTTATTATTATTGTTGTTGTTGTCGTCGAATTTTCATTTCTGAAGAATAATTATAATCGCTTCGCTCACTCCGCCGGCCCTCGAGCGCTCTATGGGGCCTCTTTGAAGCCTCTTGGGGGCCTCTTTGGGGCCTCCCAGGGGCCTCTTGGGGGCCTCTTGGGGGTCTCTTGGGGCTCCTCGGCGGCGTCTTGGGCTCCCCTGGGGCCTCTTGGGGGGCTCTTGGGGGCCCCTTGGGGCAGGAGGGGGGGTAGTCGATTGCAGCCACCCCCTCGGAGGCCACGATCCTCGTGAGGGGTGGCGAAAAATAGCCTCCCCCCTGGGGATCGCCCGGGGGTCAGCCGGGGATCGGCCGGGGTACTTTTCGTCCGGGGGCCCCCAGGGGCCGCCCCGCGCGCGCGAACTAGAAATATTGTTAGTGGTTACCGGAGATCTTAGCACGCCTCTGGTCCGTTGGGCCGGCGAATTGTTGATCCCCCCCACCGGTTCAGATTGTTTTTTCTCAATCAAAGTGTGCCCCTCGACGCTCGCACCTTGTTTTTTGACAGGGGAAGTCTTGATGCTCAAACTGGGCCCCTGGCCCCCGGGTTACAATAACAACGGCTCCCGCCTGAGACTTCCTTACAATTAGCCAGGACCCCCGCTCCCGCCCGAGAATTCCTCGCATTTTATTCAGGAATCGCGCTCTCGCTTTGGAGTTTCTTACAATTTACTGAGGAATCGCTCTCCCGGCGCTCTGGAGTCGCGCTCTCGCTGGAGACTGGCTTACAACTTACTGAAGAATAGCCTTGCGCTGGAATTTCCTGCACTTTGCCCAAGCGCCGCGCTCCCGACACCCAGGCACCAGGAGTCGCGCCCGTTGTGGCCCCATGTGCATGCCCTTCGCGGCCCCGCTGTCGCCATTTGTGTCCCCCTCACTGTCCTACGTGGCCCAGTTGCTACCCTCAGTGGCCCCATAGTTGCCTTCTGTGGCCCCGCATTATCTGCACTTCGTGGCCCCCGCTCGTTCGCGCTCTTCGTGGCCCCATACGCATTCCCTTCGTGTCCCCGCTGTCGCCCTTCGTGGCCTACTTCGTGCCCTTCGTGGCCCTGCTGTCGTTCTCTCTCGCTCTCGCTTTCGCTCGTCGTCGTCGTCGTCGTCGCCGTCGTCTTCGACGTCGTCGTCGTCGTCGTCGTCGTCGTCGTCGTCGTCGTGGTCGGTCCCCTGTCCGTCCCTCTTGGGGTCGGGTCGACGGTCCGCGGCCGCCCCGCCGATCAGCGCTGCCGCTGGCCAGGCCGACGGTCCGCGGCCGCCCCGCCGCTTGCCGGGGCCCGGCCTGCAGGGAAGAAAGGTATACCCCCAGAAGGGGTTCGATCGAAGACGAAAAGGGCGGGTATCGAGGGTTTGGGAAATACGCGTTTTTGGACACTCGAGCATATAAGGGCGAACAGTCTTAAACTTATGATTATTATTATTATTGTTGTTGTTATTGTTGTTGTTGTGGTTGTTGTTGTTGTTGCTGCTGCTGCTGTTGTTGTTGTTGTTGTTGTTGTTGTTGTTGTTGTTGTTGTTGAATTCTCATTTCTGAATAATTGTTGTTGATCTCCCTCACCGGTGCCTATGGTTTTTTCTCAGTCAAAGTGTGCCCCTCGACGCTCGCACCCTGTTTTTTGACAGGGAAAGTCTTGGTGGTCAAACTGTGCCCCTGGCCCCCCGGACTACAACAGCAACGGCCCTCGCCTGAGACTTTCTCCAAATTTACTCAGGACCCCCCTTCCCGTCTGAGTCTTCCTAATTTAGGAACGGCGCTCCCGCTTGAGACTTCCTCCAATTTTTTTGTCCGGGTCAAACTGCGTTGTTGCTCCGCTGGACTACAACAACAACGGCTCCCGCCTGAGACTTCCTCACAATGTATTGAAGAATCGCGCGCTCGCGCCTTCCCGACCCGCCCGCTATGGGTCTGCCCACCCGATCTGCCCGTCTGGTTCTACCACTTGCTTTCTGCTCCTTGCCCCCCTCCTGCTAATTTCTCTCGTGCTCCATTCTTCTCACTCCCCCTTCCACCCGTCCTTTCTTCCCTTGCTTAATTAAGGAACTGCACTAAATACGCGTGGCAGATAAGGAAGGTATACCCCCAAGGGGGTACGATCGAAAACGACGAGGGCGGGTACCCAGGGTTCCGGATATACGTATTGATTGGCACGTGAGCAGATCGGAGCGAACAGTCTTAAACTGATGGTTGTTGTTGTTGTTGTTGTTGTTGTTGTTGTTGTTGTTGTTGTTGTTGTTGTTGTTGTTGCTTTTGTAGTTCGGGGTCCGGGGTCCAGCAATCAAGAGTTTCCGTTGTAAACAAGAGGGTGCGAGCCCCGAGAGGAGGGTTTTGATCGAATAATCACAAGGTGCACCGGCGGGGACGGTCAACAATTATTATTCTTGAAGGGTGAAAATTCAGTGGCTCCCGCCTGATATTTCCTCACACCTTGTCGAACATCGCGCTCTCGTTTGAGACGTCTTCACGACTTACTCAGGACTCGCGCTCTCGCTTCCTTGCAATTTGCGAAGGCGCTGTATTCTCGACGTCCAGGATTCGCGCTCTCCATCGAGCCCCCTTGCAATTTACTTTGGACTCGCGTTTTCGATTGAGGCTTCCTCGCAATTTGCAGAATTTGCCTCAATGCTCCGCCCGCCCGACCCACCCGCTAGGGCCCGCCCGCCTGACCCGCCTGTTAGGGCCCGTCCGCCCGACAAGCCCGTTAAGGTCCGCCTGCCCGACCCGCACGTTAGGGTCCGCCCGCCCGACCCGCCCATTGAGGCCCGCCCGCCCGACCTGCCCGTCAGGGTTCGTCCATCCGCGTGCTTGTAAGGCCGCCCGCCCGCTTTGATGCAACGCCCGCCCGTTAGGGTCCGCCCGCCCGACCCGCCCGTCCCACCCGTTATGGCTAGCCCGCCTGTCCGCTCGCCAAAATGTCGTTCCGTTTGTAAAGCAATCACGCACAGCCTTTATGATCCTTGAATCATCCTTCCTTGCTTTTGCCCTCCTCCCTTCTCGTTTCGTCCTCGTTTCCTCGCTCTCTCCCTTTCTCTTTTCCCTCCTCCTTATCCTTCTTATTTCAGGTGCCGCGCCAGCTACACTTCACGTGGCAGGCAAAGGGTGGGGGGCTCGAACTGGTTCCCCCCCTTCAAGAGGGGGGGGTCGATCCGGGGGGGGCCCTCCCCGTGCAACCGACGACAGAGAGCGCTGGCGCCCCCGCCGGCGCAGGCGGGCACCGTCGGGCAGGGACGACGACGACGACGAAACCGACGAAACCGACGCCGACGCCGACGCCGATGCCGATGCCGACGCCGATGCCGACGACGACGCCGACGCCGACGCCGATGCCGATGCCGACGCCGACGCCGACGCCGACGCCGACGCCGCCGCCGCCGCCGACCCCGACGCCGACGACGGTGACGGTGACGCCGACGCTGACGCCGACGGCGACGGCGACGCTGAAGACGCCGACGGCGACGATGACGACGGTGACGACCGCGACGACGATGGCGACGACGACGGCGGCGACGGCGACGGCGACGGCAACGGCGACGGCGACGGCGACGGCGACGGCGACGGCGACAGCGACGGCGAAGACGACGACGCCGATGCCGACGGCGACGACGACGCCGATGACGACGACAATCTGATTATCCTTGGTAGACTTTTTTTCAATTTGGATTGAGGCCGAGTTTGGACCGATTAGAACTTGACCGAACCCTCGTAAGATAATTCTGATTTCGAGACCTCTCGCTCGCTCGCGCGCTCGAACAAGCGAGCGTGTGAGCGAGGGGATCGACCCCCTCCTTCCCTCATTCCCTCGCTCGCTTGCTCGGTAAAGCGAGCGAGCGAGCGAGCAAGCGAGCACCACGCATTTTATGTCCCGCCCGCCCAACCCGACCCGCCCGATTCGCTCGCTTGTTCGAGCGAGCGAACGAGCAAGCGAGGGAGCGAGCAAGCGAGTACCATGCATTTGGTGTCCCGCCGGCTCGAACCGACCTTCAGTTGCTTCAGCGAGCGACCGAGCGAGAGGACACCCTCCTTCCCTCGTTCCCTCGCTCGCTCGCTTGTTCGAGCGAGAGTTCGAGCAAGCGAGCACCATGCATTTAATGTCCCGCCCGCCCAACCCGACCAGCGTGACTCGCTCGCTCGCATGCTTGCTGCAGTTTGTGAGAAAGCGAATAAGCGACCACCATGCATGTACTGACCCGCCCGCCCGACCCGACCCACCCAGCTCGTTCGCTCGTTATAGTACGTTTCCATTACAGCTGGATCGAGCTTCGTGCTTCAAGTAGAGCTGGATCCAGCCATCGTAGGATTCTATCAGATTTGGACCGAGTCCGATTAGGATGCTATGATATGTGGGTCCAGTCGTAGTAGGACTGTATCAGAACTGGATGGAGCTATAATAGGATTCCATTAGAGCTGGAACCAGCTATCATGGGATTCTATTGAAGTAGGGTCGAGCCCGATTCGGATGCGAGTAAAGTTAGATCCTGTTATACTCGGATTCGATTAGAATTGGACCGAGCCTTAGCAGGATTACATCAAATCTGGCTACAACTTTAGAAGGATTCGATTCCAGCTGGATCCAGATACAGCAGGGTTGCATCCGAGCAGGATCGAACCTCAGTCGGATTCTATCTGGGGGAGGGGGCGGTCTCCCTTTGCACTGAAGGGGGCCCTCCCCCGGTTCGAACCCCCCCATCCCGTTGCAACTCAGGGCGAGGCCCCCGCCCCCTACAGGTTCGAACCGCCGCCCGTTGCACGGGGGGGGTGGGGGGGCGGTTCGAACCTCCCCGCCCCCTCCCTTCGGAGGGCTCTCAACCCCCTGTCGGGGAAGCCGGTGTCCCCCCCCCCCCCCCCCCCGAATCTCAGGGCATGCTCAATGTTATGTTTTTTTTTCGGGGGGGGAGCGGGTTCCACGTGTTCAAATGTTTGCCCAAGGCAACCTTCCACGAACGCGTTTTTGGTTGTTGTTTTTTTATTATTATTAGTTTTTCCTCTTTCACTCTCTCTCTCTCTCCTTGAGATGTATCTATATATCTTCAAAAAGATGCGATCGAAGACGACGATGAGTGATATCGAGGGTTTGGGATTCAGCATGTTGAGTGGCGTGCGAGCAGCATAGAGTGATCAATCTTCAAATGCTTGTTTGATGGTTCTCACTTCCAACGAATAGAAATTGCTTTTGATCCCCCCTTCTGGTGCACATTGTATTGTTCAATTGAATTGTCCCTCCAGAGGCCGCACGCTGGTCTATACCAGAGGAAGTCTTGAGCCTTAGACTGGGATGTTGGCCCCAGGAATGCAACAACGTCTCCCGCTTGATACGTCTTCACAATTTAGTGAGAGAGCTGGATAAGGATGAGGATGAGGATGAGGATGTGGATGAGGGCAGTGGTGATGATTCGGTCGTTCTTGTTGATGAGGATGCGGGACATAACTGTGGCGACAAAGAGACGACAATGAGGAATGTGATGCAACAACGGAGGTGGGGATACGGAGAGGGAAGTGAGATGACGGGCTTGCTGATGAGGAGTCGGATGATGATGAGGAGCAGGTTGATGATGATGATGATGATGAGGAGGAGGAGGAACCTCCTGATGAGAAGGGGCGTGATGAGAAGGGTGCAGTTGATGAGGGTTATGAAGGGCTGCAGGATGAGGGGAAGCAGGATCATGAGGATGATCAGTTGTGAGAATCGTATGTCTAGGGGGCATCGAAGCTGGAGGCGGAGGATCTTAGCAAGTGAAGTCAGCATCAGAACCCGTCGAAAGGAGAGGAGGGTGCCCGACACCTACACTCTGAGGATCGTCGACCCAATCTCGACCTGGCACCAGGCGCAGGGGTGTTGGGGGGGGAAGGGGGGAGGGAAAGGGAGCAGGCGGAGAGAAGGAGGAGGAGGAGGAGAAGGAGAAGGAGGAGGAGGGAGGAGGAGGAGGAGGAGGAGGAGGAGGAAGAGGAGCAGGAGCAAGATGATCAATCGATCGATCGAGCTCTCGGGCCTGTCTGGGGTTACTGGACTACGACTAGTAGAGTGGGCCTTCAAAAACTGTAGTGCGGCCTAGCTGTAGTCACTCTCTGAAAAGGTGGACGCTGACGCCACGGGGCGCTCGGGCCCTACCTGCACCGACCTCCCCACGCAGGGGTCCGCGGGCAGGGTAGCACCCGCGTTCACGGGTGCGATGATGACGATGATGATGATGATGATGATGATGATGATGATGATGATGATGATGATGATGATGATGATGATGATGATGATGATGATGCTGATGCTGATGCTGATGATGATGATGATGATGAGGAGGAGGAGGATGATGCTGATGATGATGATGCTGATGATGATGATGATGCTGATGATGATGATGATGCTGATTATGATGATGCTGATGATGATGCTGATGCTGATGCTAGTGCTGATGATGATGATGACGATGATGATGCTGATGCCGATGCTGATGCTGATGCTGATGATGATGCTGATGATGATGATGTTGATGCTGAGGATGATGCTTCTGATGGTGATGCTGACGATGATGGTGATGATGATGATGATGATGATGATGCTTCTGATGATGATGATGATGATGATGATGATGATGATGATGATGATGATGATGATGATGATGATGATGATGATGATGATGGGGAGGATGAGGAGGAGGACAGTGGAAGTCCAGCGCAGGGGAAGGTGAACAGGAGGGAGGGGAAGGGCAGGAGCTTCGGTCTTGACGACCCCTCTTCTGCTTCTACTCCTACTTCTGTTCCGCTGGGGAGGCCGCATGCCCAGCATCGAAGGCACCACCAATTTCTTGGCAGGTAATCGTCCAACGTACACGTGGGGGCACACACCCCACAATACGTGCCCCCCGCTTACCGCTTACCCACGCAGATGCCAGTGCAATGAACATGCACGTCAGGTCGAAGTGCTGCCAGGGTGTATGGTCACGTGTCACGGTCCCAAAGCACGCGCCGCAGACAAAGCGTTGTCGTTCCCACCGACCGTGCCGAAAGCAGCGCATGTCGTGCCACTCCCACGTAGCATGTTGCAAGCACTGTGCGTGTGTGAGCGGGCTTCTGAACCACGTGCACAGGACGAAACCTGCCACCCCCTCCATCCATGGCAGTATCGAGTACAGGGGGGCTCGTTGCGTCGCGAATGAGGCACTCCTTAGGACAGCATGTGGGGCGCTCCAGGAAGATCCTCCCCTTAGGGCTCGAATGCTTGACTTCTCTCCTGCGAACGGCGGCGGAAGGCCAGCGGTCGCTGGCGGAAGCAACACGTTTTCGGCTCCGCTGGCGGCAGGCCCGCTGAAGCAAGCGTCACAGCCCTCAAGCGATGCCATGTTGTTGGGGTCTGGGGTTCAGAGCACCATCACACCCTTGGCAGCATACGACCCTGACCAGCTTCTTGGAACACTGATGGGAGCACGGCTTATTTAACCCTGATGCTTTCTATCTGTGATGGGCGTTCTGGCCTGATATGCCCGTTTCTCCAGGACGCCCCGAAAGAGGACTAGCATGGCCGCAAGAGGCTCGCTCCCAAGGCGACCCAAGACGGCCCCAAGAGGTCCCCAGGAGGCTCCCAAAGCGCCCCCCCCAACCCATTCCATGCGAGGGCTGAAGGTGGCCCTGAGAGGCTTCGATTATGACTCAATAGGCCGGTGGGTGCCTTTCGTCTGTAGTCATGTCAGCCTGAGTAACGTTTCCTCCAGAAGGGCGGATTGCAACCATACGGTATGCATCGCATGACTTGTGCACGGACTTATCTGCCTGATTCGTTCACGGTGTGAGGCATGCTTTCGAGCTGCAGGCTTCTTCGTGCAGTGGCCAGATTTCTTGGCCACGTGATGCGTCCTGCAGTTCTTTTTCGATTCTCCCCACATGAGCGTGGGACTATCGCCCATTTCCTGGATGCGTTTAAACATAGTGGTGAACAGCTATCTAGGTCCGCCTTGCGAGCTTTGCCAACGATCAGCCGACATCCGCAGTGCCACCATCTCGAATCACCCTCCCCATTGGTCCGTATAACGATGCCTGCCGAGCCTGTTCGCTAGACGGCCAGAGTTTTGCATGCGAGTGTCAAAAGGGCAGCGCTTTCCAGTTCACACATCTATACACATCTCGAGTAATGCGATGATCCCGTTATCATTGCACATCGCGACGGCTTCTTGCAATGCGAATGGAAGAACGTGCCTCCTCCGAGGGCAGGTGCTGTCAATATTCCGGGTATGCATAGGGGATGCCCTCTTCTTGCGCAAACAAATTTCACCGCCCCGCAGATGATACCTTCGGATGTCCTTATCACCGCTCGCTTTGTTCAGACTCCTGAGCAGTGCTGCGATGCATGCAGTACGTGGAATCGTGAGGCAGGAAAGACAGTATGCCGGGCATGGACGCTGGAGGAAGAACGTGCACATTGCTTCGGACATCGAATGCGGCTTATCCCATATGAAGCAAGCGTAAGTGGCTATCCCTCAATGCGGATAATGCCACAGTTTGCACTTTATCCCATTACAATACTTTCGACAAGGGTGCCGCCAATGATCGTTCAATGGCTCCCGACATGAGTTGCCGCGTCCTGGAGCTGTCCGCGATCAGTACCTTCCCTCTCGCATGGATCCATGAGCAACATCAGCGGGCAGCTGCATGGTTTTTCTATCCAGCAAACGGTGGGTCTTGTGATTGTGCGCCTCGCCTGACTTTCAGCTGTGTGGCGTGTATGGCACCAGCGGTGCTGTCCGAGGGTTTAACAAGTCACATTGTAGCGGACAAGTCATAGGCTGTTTTCGTCCACGGCAGGATATTTTTTGGGGGGACGCTTTGGTGCAAGGGTATGCTCAGCTGGCCTCTGGTATCTCAGTTTACCTCTACGGCCACTCGAACATGGGGGCTCAAAAGATGGAGCTGATGCTATATTTCACACGCCACGATCTAACGACTCTAAAGTTAATTGTCGGTGCAGTGGGACTTTCTCCATGGATGGATCTCTCGGGTTCAGACCCTGGTTACTTTGACAACCGTCCGTGTGACCTTTGTTCGAGTTGTGCAAGGCGGGTGATGTGGCCAAACGATCCCATGTTTGAACGGATAGATGGTCAATGTGTTTCTTTGCCGCATTTGACGCCGACGACAGCTCTTGCCGATTCCATCGTGTCTCCGTTTTTGGCGCTGCCCTTGGAGCTTGCACAATTACCTCCCCTATTGATGATTGGTGGTGGAAGCGAGGTGCTATTGAATGACAGTTTTTGTTCGCTCAAAGAGCCAGAACGGCTGGTGTTAGGGTGCAGCTGGAAGTAGGGGTTAATATGTGGCACGATCGTTGAGCACACGGAGGGTTGCCAATCTGGGTTTTCGTTGCAGGAAGCGGTCGAGGCGTTGGGGGTCATGGGGAAGCTTTTGCTGGAAGATGCCACAGAAGGCGGTTGCACGACAACAGGCTCGAGCTCTGGTCTTGCGTGTATAAAGTGGCATAGTAGCTACTATACAATTCCGCCCGTTTTGTCACGAGAGTGTCCTCCGGATCCTGAGACCGTGTTCCCACGAGGCAGTCATGGCGCAGAATGCACTGAAAACATTGGGCGGTGCAGTAAAGGTATGCAGCCCAGATGGCGATCACTGAATGTGGCAAGCGGGCATGGTCCATAGTTTTATTGACTTATCGGCTCTTGCTGAATATATTTAGGACACATTTCACTTGTGTGAGTTCGCTTTGCAAATCTAAAGATTCCCCCCTATCCGCCCTTTCCTTTCCGCTTTCCCCTCTATCCTTATTCTTTTCTCCCCTCGGGGAGAAGTACATTCCATTCAGCATGACGTGACATATTACAAAGTCCCCTGAATGATCCAACTATGACGGATGTACAGACCATGTCAGACGATGGTGTAACCTGCTGCCTAATCCCGCATCGTACGCTCTTATTTCATGACGGAGTGCATGGGCCAAAACACATTCAACTGCCTCCCCGATGAGGTCCCATCTTCTGTGTAGCATCGGGGCCTTGGCCATGCGAACTGAAACCAGGCCAGTGCCCTGCATCTTATCATTCTCATAGGAGGTGGCCTCCTCATAGCACGGAATGGGTGGTATTGTGCTGTGCAGGTTTTCGTAGCAAATCGCTTGATGGGATGATGCGCTGTTCCCCAAACAGTGCTTGCATTGGGGAGTCTTACTTTTGGCCCCTACAACTGTACACCTACACCGATCCTTGCCAGTCCGATCCTAGGCGCATGATCGGTGTATGTGCCTCCCTGCCCAAACCAGGAGGGCGTCTACACCGATCCTGGGCCCCAGATCGGCCTGGCCAGGATCGGCGCAGTTGTATAGCTGGCGTCCTGCCAACCGTCACCGGCGGGCGCCTCCCGGGTGCCACCGGTGCGCTGGCTGGCATTTGTTTTTCCCAACCATCCTGTGGTGTTGGGTCCTCGTTTTGAAGAGACAGCGCCCCGCGTTCACTCCTCCTCCCGCTGCCCCCTCCCTCCTGCATCATCATCATCATCATCATCATCATCATCATCATCATCATCATCATCATCATCATCATCATCATCATCATCATCATCATCATCATCATCATCATCATCATCATCATCATCATCATCATCGTCATTATCACCATCATCATCATCATCATCATCATCATCATCATCATCATCATCATCATCATCATCATCATCATCATCATCATCATCATCATCATCATCATCATCATCATCATCATCATCATCATCATGGGGCCACGAAACGTGTGCACACCCCTCACACGTTTCGTGGCCCCATAGGGAGCTCCACCGAAGGCCCCAGT